AAGAAAGAAAGGAAGGAAGGAAGGAAGGAAGAGGAAGGAAGGAAGAAACAGAGAAAGAAAAGGAAAGAAGGAAAGCAAGCAAGCAAAGCAAAAAGAAAGAAACCACAATAGTCCTTAGTAAATAAACCGCATTCTGAGACTCCAGTTCATTTCCTGACCAACGTCTACAGTCATGTTTAGTAAGCCAAGACAGTGAGTCCCCAGCCCTGTCGCACTTGGCCCCTTGTTGGTTACAGGTGTGGGAACTGGCTGCTAGGTCTGGTCACAGTACAGTTTACTTCCCAGCTCCTGCTTCCCTCTGTGATGTCCGCCTGCCCTGTGCAGAGGCATCCACTCCTGATGAGATCATCATCATGGCAATGACGGGCTGCTGGGGTGTTTGCTTCCCCCCACCCCTTCTTCTTTGTTCCTAATAAAACAATTCATAGTTTCTTGTTTCTTTTGGCGCGAAAGCAAGCTACGGCGGGAAGAATGATTTTGGGATTGGAGCTGACTGTAAAATCTGTCACTTACGTTACGACACCAACTTCTCAACCTTTCTATTTTCTCACTAAGAGCATGAAGCTATAATGATTGCTCCACTCGGTTTTGATAAAGAAAAGGAGAAAAGGGATATGAACGTGTTTGTGTCCCAGACAAAGAACTGTGTGTAGCAGAAGTCAGTGTTGTTCTTCCAAGTAAAGCCAATGAAGCAGAAGGACAGAAAATACAGGGACTGATTCATTTAGCACAAACTCAACACACCTCAAACATAATACACACTTTTTTTTCCTGCTTTAAAATTCAGAGTGTTGGATGGAAGTTCCAGTTGGCAGAGTATATTGCCTTTGTAAGGCGTTTAAGTACTGGACAAACTGAGAAGGATAAGACTTTGTAGGATGTGCAGACGTGAAGTCAGAGCATCTTCAGATACGGGATACATTCATAGATTCTAGCAAGAAAAGGGGTTGAGGGCGGAGGAAGATTCTTGAGCTGCAAAGTTGCTTCAGAAGACAGCAGCCTGCCACTGGTGTGTGGGGCTCTTCGAAGTACCAGAAGGCCCAGTTATCACTACACTCCGTCTGTCTGGGGGTCATGTCACCCCCATAGGAGACGCATGCATTTATGATCATCTAATGCAGATTTTAAAAGTAGGATCAGCTTCTTGGTTCAGAGATTAAGTTCTCTCTACAACGCAAATAATGTTTGTCTATTTGCCTTGGCTGATAACTTGATCAGCAGCAGCATGGAATGTCCACCAGTTAAAAATAAATCTCCAGGGGATGCGTCTCAGCTAAGAGAGCACGAGACATGCTGTCTCAGGCCGGCTGCGGAGAAGCGCCAGGGACCTGCCATCCCTGCCACACACGGGCTCTCACTGAACTCCGCCTGCAAACCGACCCACACGATCACCTGCTGGAGAACTGCTTTCTGGTATGAGATCTCCCCCCATGTGGCATCATAGGAGAGTTACTAAGCATCTGAAGAAAAGCAAACACCAAAATCTTTTTAAAATTTTTATTATTATTATTTCTTAATGGAGGTACCGGAAACTGAACACAGGACCCTGTGCATGCTAAGCACACGCTCTACCACTGAGCTACACTGCCCCCCACCCCACCCCCAAGATCTTTGTCATTTCATACAAACATACCTTCAGGCTCAGGCTGGCATCGTCCACTCCATAGTGTTTCCTGCCTACCTCTAAAACTTCCTTTTCAATATTTTCTTGACTGGTGCCCTTCACATCGATATAGTGGCAGTTAGCACCTGCGAAGTGGCAGGAAATTGCCTGTGCAAAGTGAACCCAATTCATGTCAGGAAAAACAAAATAAAACATCCCATTAACACCAGCAACCAAGCAAGGATTCTTCTTTGAGAAAGTCAGTTCTTTCACTGAGGATTTGATTTCTAGATTGAATGCTGTCCCCATATGGCCTAAATCCATTTCTTGATGGCTGAATTGCTTTTTTTTCCCCCCAGCTAAAGGCTAATTGGGAAATTACAAGTTTTTATCTAGCTGTGTTATTTGTTTTCCAAAGGTATATATGGGGGCAGGGAACATACTTCCATCAGTAAGGAGTCTTTAACTTGTTAGCATTTGGTTTTTCTAATCCTAGAGAGGAATGTATCCCAGGGATTTTCATACCCCCAGTTACAGAAGTTACTCTGTCGAGTCTCTAATGAGTTGGTATTTCAGTGGCCACAGACTATGGGGTGGAAGGGAAACTGAAAATACCGTGTAAAGGAAAATAAAACACACACCTCCCTCTCGAATCAAAAGGACATTTAAAGTCCGACAGCGTTAAAAACGACACCTAACTTACTTCCTTCTGAAGGTAAGATGGGAGTTACTTGGTTTTGCCTCGTTCTGTAAACCCGCCTCAGCTGCAAGTCAGTGGTTAAAGCGTACCTCCCTAGACCTGTTAGTCATCTTAGAGGGGTCACACTCATCAGAAGAGCTTCCTACTCTGCCCGAAACATCAGATTTCTAGGCAGTTGAGTCAAAAACTCCATGTCCCATGGAAGCGCCAGTGACGTTCCAAGCCATATCGGAGCCTGAGTCAAAAGGACAAGATGTGCGCTCCTACCTACCTGTTTTTATGTATTTTAATGAGTAATATTTTCCCAAACATTAAAGCGGTTTAAAAATATCGAGAAATTACAAATTCAGTATATTAAACTCAGACATTATTTCCAGCATTGCACCGGAACTCCCCCATACGCATGGTTCAGAGGGTTACACTAGTGGAGTCTGATCGTGTCTTTATTTAAAATGTTGGCATGGTGATCACCATGGATTTGGGGGCATTAATTTTAATTTTTTTTTAAATACTGCATTAAAATATTAGTTAACTGGATTGCTGAGTTTTTTGGTGCCTTCTCACCACACCCTCATCCCGTTCCTCTGAGCCTGGTGGAAAAATGAACGAATGGAAGACGAAATCTGGCAACTAACCCTGGGCCTCAGGGGGACACAACGAGTTGTGATAAACTGGAAAGCTTCACTCGGTCCCAAAGAGGCCCCCAGTATTCAGTACCAACAGCCATGTTATCAGAGGCAAATGTGAGCCCACGCCACTGACAGATCTGCTTGATTTTAGCGAAGCAAGAAATCTGGGAATTTATGAGAAATTTTGTCAGTTTTTAATGTAAGCAATGAAATTAAGTTGAAAACACTCCGCAGCTAAGGGTACTCAGCTAACACGGCTGCCTGCTAAACCTGATTTCTGGGTGACCAAGTCTGATCTTTGTTTTCTATCAATAATATTGTTCCCAACAGCAATCATATTACGACCTTCCCTCCTCTCCTAGTATACACATGCCAGATCTGATTATGTAAGTATGTCTGCCATTGTTGTAGCCTCTGAAGACACAGGCTCTCAGCTGCCAAGGAAGCTCTTGCTCTGAAGCAATTCTGTGACCCTTCATGGTTCAGTATCAGTAGGGCTGGAAGCCTGAGGCCACCTGGCTTCTTTCTGATGTGAGCGAAGCAGCATGAGGGAGACAAATCTATCTCCTGGTTGCCATACTGGACTAAAGGCCAGATCAGTTAAAAGTCACATATCTTTTAGGTTTTAATATATTTTGACATTTCTGTTTGTAACACATTCATCTTCGGAAAGAAGGCAGTAATGTTAACATGTACCTTCCGGAATCCTTGACTTTTGTTGCGACCGGATCCATGGATGAGCAAAGGATGAAAGAAAACGGTGTCTCCCTTCTCCATTATGAGGTGCACCCGGGCATTGTCTTTGTCATAGTCGTGGATCCCATGGAACATGATGTTCACTCCTCCCTAAATACAGAAGAAGAGCCAGGTCTGTATGTGAGGAAGCCAACGGTTAAAACCTGATCAATGACTCATCAGGAAAAACAAAGTCTCTCTAAGTTCTTCCAAGAGAAAGAAATAAGTTAGGTTGAAAAAGAAAACAACTTAAGTATACAAAAGCTTCTCAGATGACTGGTTTTAGAAGGCTCCCTGTTGACATTCAAATCATGGACTTTTTTTTTTTTAGACCAAATGAAAATTTTGGAATTTCCACCTACCCTTCATCACTGAAGGTATGAAAATAAATGAAGCTCAAGATCAGCTTTGCATTTTGCGGTAACACAGGAGACCACCTTTCCAGACCAATCCATGACTGTTCTTTCCCAGCATGCTATTCTCTTCACCTGGAACTTTGCATCAGTCATTCTCTATTGCTCAGGATATCTCTGAGAAACTACTCTCCCAAACTACTCAACTTTCCTAAGAAAATACTCAACTTTCCTAAGCTCATAAACTACTCATGTCCAGAGTAAAGAAAGAAGGACAGTAAAGTAAAACACTGTGTTTGTTTATAACTATTTCCAAAGTTAGTTTTTGCTTTATGTAATGGTTATGTCTTTATGGGAGAAACTAAAATGAGAAGTGACTTAAAGTGTATAAGCCTTTATGGGTTTTTGGATCCCATTTCCTTTCCTAAGACCATCCCCAATCCAGATTCCTTCTGGGGAATAACTACTTCCTTACTATTCTGTGTTGAGACTTTGATCCAGTGAACTTCTTTCCTGCCCAGGGTGGGTATGTGACCAAGATAAGCCAATGTGAACCCCGACTGCAACCACTTTGAATCTGAGCAGAGGATCAAAGAGACCAGACATATCAGAGTTCAGCTGCCCATGCCAGGTACCCCACGCCAACTGTTCCTACCCAGCAAGGACTCCAGCTTTCCTACCTCCCAGAGCAGCCAGCCTTTCCACGGACTCAGCGTGCACCTGTGGCTTAAGTCAGGGAGCGCCCACTTCTGTTACTTGCACCAACCTTCCCTAAACCTCAACTTGATGAATTTCAGATTTTATATCAGAATGTAGACTCAAATGTTTTCATTTAGCACTAATCCTCAGTGCAAGAATTCTGACACCATATTGTAAACTGACTATACTTCAATTAAAAATATATACATAATAAAAAAAAAGAACGCTAACTAATTGACACAGAAGTTCCAAAGCCACATTCTTCACTTTGTACAGAACCACATCCTTTCGTCCTGCCTTAACAACAGGTGCTCTTCTCATTCTGATCATCATAATGGGGTTTTAAGACCTTATTTCCTTACCCCTGAAACACCAAGAGCCTCCTCTCTGGTTTCTCTGCCTCTGGACTCCTACACCTGCAGTATATTCTGTGCCAGACCACAAGGGTATCTTTCTCGAAGATCTGCTTTGATCTCATCACTCATGGGCTCCAACACATTTAACAGTCCTTCAGCATCGCCAGCTGAATTGTAAACCGTGGAACAGCCACAGAACGGAATCCTACTCAGCCCTCCCCAGAGCCTCTCTCTGCTGGTCTCTCCAGCTGGAAGGAGACCCTCTTTCTTACTCCAACAGCTACCAGTCAGTGTGTTAAGACTTACTTGGCACACACATCTGGTAGTGCCATGTTTATGTCTTATCTCTGCAGTGAGGTTCTATCATCTCAGATCCCACACAGCACCACCAAAGTTCGCCTCATTGGTTGGCTTTCAAACACTTGTTAAAAGAACACAGACGATCATTTTATCTGACATCCTTGAATTTTCCCTGACCCTCATCCCAAATCCTAGAAAAATGTTTTGCTAAGAAAAGGTATGCCGTCTTGTTGGCAAAGCTCCTTACATGTACTGATGTGAAATCAAAACCAACAAAAGATTCTGATCAAGATGCAGCTGCCAGGTAGACTCACCTCCCACTGCGGATAAACGTGTGGCTTCAGGGTGCCTTTGTGTGTGCCTGGGAGCACCACCAGACAGCCGTTGCTCCGGTCAATGTGCTCCATGGCCGTCCAAGCACAGACGATGCTGCTGCTAGGCCGGAAGGGGAAATAGTGCAGGTCCTGGTGCAAGGGGTGCCGGGATGTCTTCTTGCCTGAAGCGGAGCCCACCGTTAAAGTCAGCAAACTCGAGCCTCAGAGTTCCTCCCCTCTGCCTGAAAAGCCAGAACGGTGGCCTGTCCCCGCAAAAGCCAAACAGATGACACAAAGCTAAAGAAAACCAACCCTGACAGAAGCACCAAACTGGAGCACTGAATCAGCACAGTGACTCCGGATCCTGTAATTCTTTCTGGGTTTCTGGTAGCCAAGTCCTTCTTGCAGTGTCTTCTAGCAAGCTGTACATAAGTCATCTCTACTGTGTTTTATTCCTTTGCAACTCTGGTATTCCCCCTAAAAGTTTAATTAAATTAATGAGAGTGGTCGAATTTGAGGTCCTCCAATAGCCTTCAAAGTGGCTAATACAAAAAAATATATATTAGTTAATTAACGAAATAAAAGGCCTCTCAGGTTTCCCCACCACACTGGAAGCATTTGGTGTGCAATCACTATGTAGAACCAGAGATGCTGTGACCACATTTACATTTTTCCCTAGTTTTTCCCTCCGAACGTGGTTCCCCAGGGCCACCAGATCTCTCCACACAAGACATCCATGGAGGGAAAGACTTGGTGATGTTAAGCTACAGGCCTGTCACACAAACCCCTCCCAACCATCAGGAAAAAGTAAGGACCAAGGATCTCTAATAGCCAATTTACCACTACTGCTGGTACAGCTGAATTTCTCAGTGTGGACCAAGAGCCATCTGCATTAGAATCTCTGGGGGTGGCTAATAAAATGCAGATTCCTGAGTTCTGTTTTCTGAATCAGCCTTTCTGGGAGGGAGGTCTCAGAAGCTACATTTGAGCAAGCACGGGAAGTTTTAAGAATAACTATGATATGTGATTTATAGAAACAGTTTTAATTTTGTTAGTGATAATAATGTCCACCAATGAGGAAGGCAGAATCCACGCTCTCACACATGGGAGAGAGTGGGTCACACAGCTTACAGGTGTTGAGTAACGGAAGCCTGTGGTACAGTGTTTATTCAACTGCATCTTTCAGAAGCCAGTTGTCTGAAAATCCAGCGATAACCCTACGTTACCATCTGAAATCATTATTGTACTTCAATGTTGTTATGACGTAAGCTATTTTAAAACTTACTTAAATAAAAGTACACATATTCATTTATGCGAAGTTGTTCACACTGCTATAGTTAGAACATCAACCTTATGTACTTTATAATTAAACACTTTTTTTTTTTTTTTGCTTTTCCTTGACAAATAAGAGCCCTTTACCAGTATCTGGAGGCTTGTTTATCAGCATCGTATGCATGGCCATAATATTGGGTCCAGTGAAGCACTCCACATATTTCAGGATCTAAGGGAGAAGGGGAAAAAAGTTCATGAGTAATCAGATGCCCAGGACAGGCAAGTGGCACAAAGTCCAACTTGCAAGAACCCAGATGGCAAGAGTTTAAAAAAAAAAAATCAATCGCTATTTCACAACCTTGCAAACAAACCATAGAAAAGTCAGCAACTGGAAATCACTGGAAAGTTACAACACTCTGAATTAAACAGGCTTTTTGAAGCCAGCTGGGAAAGCAACTGCTTTTTCTCCAAGAAAGACATGGGTTTCTGTGATGCGTCAATGGCACAGGACAGGAATACCCTCCTTTCAACGAAAGCTGTCATCTGCAGGTGCCCAGAAAGAAAGCAGCTTCCCTCTTCCTTCACAGAGACTCTTTGTAAGAAGGGGCCTTGAAAGGACCCGACAGGCTTGCAGCTGCCACGAGCAGCCCCGAGTGAAGAGCGGGCTCGGGGGCCACTTCACAGCCAGCACAGCCGGCCGTTCAATCAGCAACTATTTCCTGAGGTCGATGAACCAGGCAGAGGGACAGGAAATGGGGACACAACAGTGAACAAGACAAGCAGATCCCTGCCCTCATGGAGTTCATATTCTAGTGGGAAGACAGACGCTGAACACACAACAACGTGGGCCACTGTGGCGGAGACCATGCTTCGAGGAATACACTGTGGTGGGCGCGGGTGAGGGAGGGCTATCTCCTGCATCGGGCCCACCTGGAAGGGGGGAAAAGCAGAAAGGACCCACCATCAAATGCCGACTACCGGCCAGGGGCTTTAATCAGCCCATTTAAGCCTCACAATAATCCCTGAAAGTCAATGCCCCCATTCAGGAATAATCCTTTGACACGAACACCCTATACAAGCAAGCTGGAGGCTAATGAGATGCCCAAGTGGGCAGAGCCAGTTAAATGAAAAAGATGGTTTGCAAATTCCAATTCTGTCTGACTCCAAAAAATGAAGCACATTCTACTGCTTTCTTTCTCACTATTTGATCTCTTGTGCATAATACTGGTAATCCACATGTGCAACACTTGAAATGTTACCAAAATCCTAGGAGTCAGGCCTCATACTTGTTTTTTTCAATAAGAAGTTTGGTCATTTTTTTTTTTATTTTTGGGATGCACTTAGGCCAGTATTTTCTAAACTTTTGTCATTCAAGAACCATCCTCACCATGTCTGTCCTGCTCTGCAGAATTTCCCAATATATTTAGCCAGTATTTTCCCTAAATTAACTTAACTCACTTCTTTTACTTAGGCTTATCCTGATAATATTCAGTTTGAGGTGCTGGTTCATTTTTCCAGTACACATTAGAATAAGCACCTGCCTATTAAAATAATGCCTATGTCCTAAAAATCATTGCATGAACCAGGAAATACGTGGTTCACACGTTAGGGTGGTGGGAAACCCGAAAGTCCTGATAAAGCATAACCTACCACAAATTGCATGTGATTTTCAAGCTTTTTAGCCTTGATCCACCCACACAACGGCCATTTCTATAACAGGGTTTAAGGTTGGGAAGAATGGATGGTTCCGAGGGGCCACTTCCCCTGCCGTCCCCAACCCAAGGGGCTGGAAATCACAGGTGGCTTACCTGTACAGTCTTTCTTCATGAGTCAAATTTTCTAATAGCACCTGGGGTTATAATTTCTAATAAATACTACATGCAAAGTGTCCTTTAAAATCATTCTAAATAAATGGTCATAAACTGTAGTACATTTATGTAACGGAAAGCTATGCAATAGTTCACAAAGTATAAAGTAGACCCATAGGTACTGACATGGAAAGATGTCTCAGATCTACTACAAGTGGAAAAACAAGGTGGCCCCCCTCGGTGTGCCCCCGTGATATACCAAAGGTGGGGCTGCACAAACATGCTTGTTTATGCCTGAAAGAATTCCAGATGAACACACACAAGAGCTGAACAGAGCGGTGCTGGGGGTGGGAGACCTCACTTTTCACTTCATGCCCTTCTGCACTATTTGGGTACTTTCACAAATATGAATTGCTCTTAAAGAATAGTAAGTTTCTAAAAAACTAATTTAAGTTTAAAGACAAACTCACATCTCTACTGACCAGACTCATGAAACAAAAAGGAAAAAAATGCATTTGCAATAAATGGCCTCAGTATTTCCACACGCCTTTGTCAAATGTGAGAAAGACTCTCTTTACCACAGAATTCCTGCTCTTCTTAACCAAAAATAATTAGCAAAATTATGAACAGGTTTTCTCAGTCTTGGCACTACTGCCATTTTGGGCTGGATAATTCCCTGTTTGGAGAAAGAGGCTATTCTGTGCATCCCTGAGCCCCAACAGCAGCACAGCACCCCCCCCCAACCAAACGCGTCTCTAGACGTTGCCAAATGTCCACCTCTAATTGAGAACCACCGCCCAAGGGGCGAAAGTAAAAACAGAAGCCTTCAGAAGCAGAAGGCTGCAGAAAGAGAAAGATAACACAGGGAGGGCTGGAACCTCAGGCAGGGTGCAGTATCTGAAGAGCTCCTCATCTTCTTGGAAATCTTGGATCTTGGTGATCGTTCTCTCACTTGGCACATACTCTGACTTTGCAATGGTCATGTCTCTCATCACCGTCAGTCCCGGTGGTTTCACCTCATTTCTGCAGACTCTTTCAAACTCATGCCTAGAAAATTAAATTGGCAAATGACATGACTTTGCCACTGGCTCCAAGCACCTGCCTGGCCTTGTTCTGTGGAAAGACGTGAAGATTTGGGGGGTGGTTTCTCTGCATGAAGGTGGCCTCCAACCCCAGGCTGAATAGTTCTGGTGAAAAGAAGGAGGAAAATGGCCAACTCAGAGGTGCCTGCCTCCGGACTGCGAGGCCGGAACTCCCTACCAGAACTCAGTATGCCTCAGCACGGCGGGTCAGGGGGAGATCTCTGATTCGATTTCATCTGAATAAAATCACAGACACTTCCATATCACTACCAAGCGCCAGGCCCTGTCCAAATATATTCTATGTGACCCATTTAGTCCTAAAAACAACTCTAGGACCTACGTACCATTATTAGCTCCATTTTAGAGACCTGGAGACAGAGGTGTAGAAAGGTCAGCTGCCCCAGGACAGACACTGTTAAGTGGTGAGGTTAAGGTCAAAGCCAGCACTCTGACTCCAGAGTCCAGGTACCTAACCGCTTCCTGACAAACCAGGTCCCGGAAAACATTTGAACACACACAAGTTACTCAAACTCCCGTTACACACGCAGAATATGTGTTCCTGTATAATAGCAAGTCTTGTTACTATACCTAAAGCGTTGAATATCAGCGTCGGATACCAAGTTTTTAATGACAAGAAACCCATTTTCTTCATAAAATTTTCTCTGTTCTAGGCTTAGAACATTATTATCCAGAGTATACCTAAAGGAGAAAAAAAAAAAATCTCAAGTCCAATTTAAAAATCACAACCTAACAATATGTATCTAGAACCTGAGAGATATTTGTACTTTTCTACTCAGCTTTTCTATTTCTAAGACTTTACTATAAGTAATCCGAAAAAAAACTTTAAAGCTTTAAACCTAAAGCATTAATTACTGCCACCAAAAAAAAAATGAAAGAATGATTAACTCTATTACATCCACTCAATGTGCTATGGCTCAGGCATTAAACACAAAGAACATGTAATAGCATGGACAATGCTTATTGTAATATAATATAACTACAACGATGTAAAACCAAGACACTATGTTTTTTGGGGGAAAAAAAGCCTGCAAAGAAACACAACAAAACAATTTTTTAAAGTGATTGCCCTTATATGATGGAATTATGAGTGAGTTTTTAAAAATTCCTTTTTCTCTGATTTTAAAATTTGTTCTACAATGAGTATGTATGGCTTTTCAGATGGGAAACAAACAATAATTTGTATGTCTTTAATTGTTTGGTTCATGCATTCACAGAAGAAATCAAAGTAAGAAAATCTAAATAAGTATGTAACACAAGCACAAACTCAGATCACCCAGTCCATGCCTCTAGACTGGAACTGTGGGTCTGTGAGACTATTCCACGGAGATTAATGTCTTCCACTTCAAATGGAATTTAAGGTAAACCAAAGACGCTAGCTAATACATCAGTATGCCCAAACTACAGGCTAATTTAAATGAGATACAATGCTTGAAATTTAAAAAAAAAATCAGGCATTTCTGACATTTTTCCTTTCTGAAGTTTAAAATAAACATAGAAAATTAAAGTCAGGATCTTCAAAATTTTCCACGATTGTTCTAATTAGAACAAGTTCTGAAAATGGAGGATTTATATAATGACATCTCATCAGGTAACATGTATTTTGCATCATAGTTACCACTAGAAAAAAACCTGTATCTACACCGTATGGTTAAAAATTCTAAGTTGATCTACTTACTGGAATTGTTGAGGATGGAAACTGGCAGGAGAAACACCCTCTGAGGTGGGTTGAGCTATCTAGGACGTGAATTAAGGCAAATAAAGTAAAATCTAGGAGTCAGCCTTTTGTAGAAACAACATTAGGCCCTGGACTGGCTCTCACAAGGGAAGACCAGTCCTAAACAGACATCAGGCAGGCTAGCTACATACACAAGTTCTGATTCGTTGCTGCTTCCATCACTCCATTTTCACAACAGCCTGAGGAGGTGGCTGGGAGCTTCATTACTCCTGCAACACAGAGCAGGAAGCCCAGGCTGGGCAGGCTGAGTAACTGGTCCAAGGTCACACCTAGCAGAAAATGGCTGAGCCGAGACTTGACCCACACTGCGTACTTCATAGCTTCCATCTATTTGATTCCACGTGGCTATTGCTTCCACTGAGCTACTGAATGAATAAAACTGGAAAGGTTCCATTCTCGAAATAAGAAGAAACGAGATATTCAAAAGAGGTGTTTAATTTAGTGGGAGTCCAGTCCAAAATATTAGGAACAGTTTGGCTGGTCATTTAAAAGAAAAAGTCTACCTTTATAGAAAATGTTTGTTGTGGGGAGGGTATAGCTCAGGGGTACAGCATGTGCTCAGCACACACAAGGTCCTGGATTCAACCCCCAGTACCTCCAATGAAGAAGAAGAAAAAAAGAAAGAAGAAAGAAAAGAAAGTGTTTGTCGGTCCTCAAAATGAAGAGACGTTGTCTCAGTGGAGTGCTTCTCTGTAAAGCGCTGGTTTTCAAATGGGGTAGGGGTGATGGGTATCAGAATTACCTGGAGAACTTTTTCAAGCCCCAAATTTTTCAAACCCCAATAGTTCAAATTCCAAGATTCTTCCTCCAGTCAAAAAATCACTCTGATAGGATTGGGTTGTATCTTTCAGCTGTACCAAGGCTGGAAAATAATTGCAGAACCATGGCGGGTAACGAAGCACTAGCTGCCTTAAAGGTCTGCAGGGATTCAGCCTTTCAGAGGCCTCGAGATGACCTATGGTTTCGCAAAAGAAAAAAAAAAGTCTAATAATAAATTAGAATAAATAATGACTCCAAAAAAAAAATATGATCTACGCAGTAGAGTATAATTTTAAATATCCTAAAGAACTGGAAATTCCTGCTAGTTTTCTATCTGGTAATCACCACGGATAACTGACTTGGCCTCTCACTGGGGTTTTTTCTTCTCATTTCTTTTTTCATTGTTTCTTTAGCTTAAAGATTTACTTTCAGAGTGTCGCTTCCCATGATCATGTCATCATTTTTGAAAGATGTCTTTATATATAACTTTATATAATTTATGGACAACAGAATAGTCCAGGAGCGAGGCAGGCCAGGAGGCAGAATTACTAATACCTGTTTCCCCTCCAAGGCAGAGTGTTAACCTCTTTGTCAACTGTTCTCAGCAAAACATGGCTGCCAGCACGGTGCGGACAGCAGCCTCCCACTCCAAAGCTCCTTTCATCTCTCTGCTATTCCTGCGTTATGGTTTTGGTTTCTGTTGTTCCTGGAGAATTTTTTTAACATGTGGAAATGTTTACTATACAAAGCTAATTAGCATTTACTATGTTTACTATATAAAGCTAGTAAATATGAAAAAAATGGATGCAAAAACCTGTACATATAGTGTGGTCCTAAATATGTAATTATGCACTTATGTAAATGCATAGAAAAGAAACGCACCAACAAGTTTGCAAGTAACGGTATTATGGGTCATACTAATTTTCTTCTTTATGTTTATCCTGCACTTAAAATGTTTTATACTTTAAAAAACTGTTTTATGTTTTAATTGTTTTATGTTATAATAAAAATGTTTTATACTTTAAAAATTATTTT